ATAGATAGATAGATAGATAGAATATCATTTTATTATTTTATTTTATTTACCGTTATTTTACCAGGCAAGTCCCATTGAGATCTCAGATCTCTTTTCCAAGAGCGGCCTGGGCCTAAAGGCAACCTATTGTACATGTTTTTGGGGGGTGGGGGAAACCGGAGTACCCAGGAAAAACCCACGCAAGCACGAGGAGAGCATGCAAACTCCTCACAGAAAAACCCCAGATACTAACCAGGGATCGAACCCAGGACCTTCTTGCTGTGGGGCGTCGGTGCTAACCACTGAGCCGTCGTGCTGCCCAGATATAGATAGATAGATAGATATGAGGATATCTTTAAACATGTAATCATAACTTTCAGACACTTTAAGGACTCTGTCACTCTTTAAAATGCCTGCTATGTGTTTTTTCCTCGTATGTCATTTTCCATCTGTTGATCGTGTCCCTGTACTTGTTCATCTTACCGATTTGACCTCATTGCCTTCTTGTTCCTTATTTCTATTTTCCTTTTTTGCTTGCTTGCGTTCTTTCATGCATTCCATGTCTTGCTTGTTTACCTGCTCCACTGTTTTCCGCTGTAGATGGTTCATCACGCAGCCTTGCTTCTCGTGAGCGTGTGCACAAAAGCAGTGTGTCGGTGGCTGGTCATGGTAGTGCTCTGTCATCTCTCGCTCTGAGGCAAAAGGGTGGGTAATCACTGACTGCATGCTTCCCTCAGACTGAACAGAGGGGTGGGTAGGAGCTCACAAAATCTTTGAATGAAAGCCTTTATGTTCTTGCTTTATTGCTAACATTCAGTCTTGTTATTATAAAAAGAAAACTAAAGTTAATAATTGTTGCCTGAAACATGACCTGTTGATTGGGAACATTTGTTACCAGAGTTTATTAAAAGGCAATTTTTAGTTYTTTGTACCAGAACTGGGCTGGAATCCCATCATTCATCAGCGCCTTCATGTTTCACGTTATTCTCRTTCATCCTAGTGTTTGACCACATGGTGATATCAAAATACACCAAATTAGCTGAGAAGTCACTAAATTTAGTTTCCACTCACTCATTGACTTTACAAGTTATTAGATATTTTCGGGCTTTAGTTCTTATTATGCTTTTTAAAAATTTTCTGCTGCGTTTAAAATTGTTGTTTACTTTCTGATGTTGAGAGGTAGAGCTGGAGTCGCAGTAGCTAATTTACTATGGATTTCTCTGCATTTTATAACTTTACTGTTTGAATGATCAATGTTTAGGTGAACGAGGAAATGTGATGTCTGGTGCACGGTCAATGTCTCAAGCCAACAAACAGCGTCAGGAGAATCGCTCACCCAAACTGGAGAGTCGAGGAAGCCGCTCGTCTGAACAGAGCAGGGTGAAAACCGGAGAGGGCGGACTTTCAGCCAGCGAAGCCCTCATCTTGCGGTCAGACACGGGCAAACTGAGGACTGACTCTCACAGTCGCTCCCACTCACCCAACCACAACACTCTGCAGGCCCTAAAGGCAGACGGCAGAACCTCGGGAATTCGGGCTGAGTCCCCGAATCCTGGCTCTCGCTCTTCCTCTCCCAAACAAAAAGGTGTATCGTCATCGGGCAGGTCCAGCCCCTCCAGCACCTCCCCCCAGCTCTCGTCCTTAAACCATCAGGACAAGAACCTCCCTCCTAAAGTTAGCTCTTCCTCTAAAGCTCGACTTGATCCTCCCAGAGAGCGATCCAAATCGGACTCATACACTCTGGACCCAGACACACTCAGAAAAAAGAAGATTCCTCTCACGGAGCCAATCAGGGGCAGATCTACCTCACCTAAATCCAAACTGTCACCTAAAGACCCAAATAAAGGGGTGACCAGTAATGCAGAAAACCGTGTTCCTTCTCCCCATGTGACCCAGGAGAACCTCCACAGTGAGGTGGTGGAGGTCTGCACATCTAGTGCACTCCTCTCAAACGAGGATATCAATGATGAGAACGCGGAGGTCCATAATAATGAAGAAGGCTCGTGTAAGGTGCACTTTAGTATCGGCAAAGCCCCTGTCAAAGAAGAACAAGACATCCGCTCATCACCCAAAGTCAGCCGCAAAGCCTCAAGTCGACACACGCGACCTAAGAAAGACAAATCAGGGCCTCTGTTTAAAGGAGAGAGCACGTCGAGGATCGCAGAGCCCACCAAACAGGCCATGTCGCCCTCTGTAGCTGAATGCTCCCGTGCAGTTTTTGCTGCTTTTCTGTGGCATGAGGGTATAGTCCACGATGCTATGGCCTGTTCCTCCTTTCTCAAGTTCAACCCAGATCTAACCAAAGAGCACGCCCCCATTCGCAGCTCCCTGGGTGGGCAGGGGGCCGAGGAGAAAGAGAGCAAGCTAAAGAACCGCCACTCCCTGGAGATTTCCTCTGCGCTTAACATGTTTAACATCGCTCCACATGGCCCAGACATCTCCAAAATGGGCAGCATCAACAAAAACAAAGTCTTATCCATGCTTAAAGAACCTCCACTGCCAGAGAAGTGTGAAGATGGAAAAGGAGACGCCATTTCTTATGAGATGTCTTCTCACTCTTCTTTGAGGCCAAAGTCAGTTTTACCATTAACCTTACAGCACTTGGTAGCATTCTGGGAGGATATTTCATTGGCCACCATCAAGGCAGCGACCCAGAACATGATTTTCCCCAGCCCAGGCTCCAGTGCCATCTTGAAAAAGAAGGAACATGAAAAGGACAGCAAAAAAGCAAAGAAGGAGAAGAAGAAAAGGGAGAAGGCAGAGGTGCGTCCGAGGGGGAATCTGTTTGGAGAGATGGCTCAGCTCGCCATGGGAGGACCAGAGAAAGACACTATCTGTGAGCTGTGTGGGGAGTCTCACCCTTACCCTGTCACTTACCACATGAGACAGGCTCACCCAGGTGAGAAACCATCTTTTACCTCCCTTTACACAAAGCTGCATGTTAGTCTGATGTCTGATCATGTTTCCTTTTTACTGCAGGCTGTGGCCGCTACGCTGGAGGCCAGGGCTACAACAGTATTGGTCACTTCTGTGGTGGATGGGCAGGAAATTGTGGAGATGGAGGCATAGGAGGCAGCACCTGGTACTTAGTGTGTGATCGCTGTCGGGAGAAATACCTCAGAGAGAAACAAACTGCAGCCAGAGAAAAGGTAGTGCACTAAAAAACGTCAGTAATATTATTAATCTATTATCTAGTGCAAACTAAKTTTTTCTCATGTTTCAGGTGAAACAGTCAAGAAAGAAACCTCTGCAGGTGAAGACCCCGAGAGCACTACCTACTATGGAGGCCCACCAGGTGATTCGGGCAAACGCCCTGTTCCTGCTGTCCCTCAGCAGTGCAGCTGAGCCCAGCATGCTGTGCCACCATCCTCCTCGGCCCCTTCATTCCCATCTGCTACCCAGCCTGAAGGAGGGTGTGTCGGAGGAACTCCCCAATAAAATAGGCTGCCTTTATTTGCAGACACTAGCAAGGTAACTTAACCAGTTCATCAAACCCACCTTTTTATAGATGGAAAAATTATAGGCTATGTTCACACTGCAATCCAAATCTGATTTTCTTTTTATGACATTCTGAACGTGAYAGATACGATTTTTTTCAAATCAGACTTTTCATATGAGGTACTAAATCAAATACGTGTAAGATATTTTTCAAATCAAATCAAGTCTGAACTGTCTGGTGGCATCTCCTCTGACTTTTATGTCATTGAGGTGGGGGTGAGAGGATCAATCCAAGTAAGGGAAAAAAGTAAACAGAAAACAAGTCCAGATGCTTCTTCTTGGTTGTTTTAATTTGCCATGTCCTGGGTGACAGAGAATCTGCAGCAGAGCTGTCAAACTCATTTTCACAGAGGGCCACATTACCGTTAAGGTTGTGCTTAAAGGGCCAGTTGTAATGAACTTTAACGATTCGTGTTTAACTTCCACTATAAAGAAAACATCACGTTCCTTGTCTCATTGCAAAGGCTGAGAACTGCTAACAAATATTAACTGAGCTCTACATAGTATTTCCTGCATAAAAACAGAATTTTAATACGCCCTCTGCTTAACACTGAAAAATACTACCTGTACGACTGACTAAATGTGGAATAAATAATACAGAAATGCTATTAAATGTAAAAGTAACAGCTTTACTCACTGTTGTGTTGCGTGGCGTCCGTCTTGAATTCCCATGCACAGTCGACATGCATTATGGGACATGTAGTTTATGGTCAATACTATTGTGGCCAATTCCCTAAATCCATTCAATTTTGATTCATAAGTTTTTGAATTGATTATCATGATTCAATTCAACTCAATCTGCTAATAAAATAATAATAATAATAATAATAATAATAATAATAATAATAATTCAACTGTGTTGCAAAATACAAATTTAAATGGGAATTGAGCATTAATTCTGCAGTGTGAACATAGCCTTAGACTGGTTGATCATTATATTTCAAGTCTAATTCTTCTGTCACTTCTAAGGCAACACACTGAGAACTTTGGAGCCTACCAGGATGACAACCTCTTCCAAGATGAGATGAGATATCTGCGCTCAACATCTGTTCCTGCGCCTTACATTTCTGTCACACCTGATGCCTGCCCCAATGTGTTTGAGGAACCAGAGAGCAACATGAAATCAATGCCCCCTAGGTAGCACCATGTCATACGATGTCCATAATTACACTTCCCCCCTAAAATGAGTCTTTTCTGTTGAGGGGTAAATTAGATCTTTTGAAGTAGAGTTCTGTGAAGAGGTTATAAACAGTACCTTTTCAAATCGGAGGAGTTTTAAATACTGAAGGAGTCCACTTTAATATTTTAATTTTAATATTGTAGCATTTTATCCTGAATACGTCTGGTTAGATGCAGGTTCTGTGATACAAGTTTTTTTTTTTTTTCAGATCTATACTTTCATCCCTTTTTTCCCACTTTCAATATTAATTTAACATGAAGACATATTTTTAAGTCACCCAACAGATTTTCTGAAGCCATGTTCTCATTTTGATGTCTTTAATGTAATTTTAGCTGAAGTTGAAAGCCTGTTTTTGTCTTTGTTTGCTTTTAGTCTTGAAACCAGTCCGATCACAGACAGCGACACAGCAAAGCGCACCGTGTTTCAGAGGTCCTATTCAGTTGTCGCATCTGAGTACGACAAGCAACACTCTCCTTCTCCAGCCCGAGTCAAAGCTGTTCCTAGACGAAGGGTTCATAGTGGTGATGCAGGTGAGCATTTAAATAACTTTTGATACTTCCTGATCAACTTAAACCATTACTCTAACATCAAACTGTTTTATTATGGTACGTTCACACCGAACGCGTTTTGAGCGGCAGGAGCAGCCGATTCACATGCAAAGTCTAGGGTGGACGTGCCTCTAGGTGTTGTGCGTCGTGTCATGTACGTTTTGGACGGCGCGGAAGGGGCGCAGAGCGTTTTCCGCGCATGCAGTGCTGCGGAAGCAGCCGCCGCCAGAGTTCAAATATCTGAACTTTTCGCCGCTTGATGCGTCTCCCACTGAAAACCAAAACAGACGGACTGGAGATCTTTACCTGAAATCGACCGTGTGCAGTTGGATTTTCTGGCAGGATATATCAGCACCGATGTGGATCAGCTGCTCAGGACCAAAAAAAATGTCCGTCAGCTGGCAGCTTCTGTAGTGACTAAACAAATCGCCTCTAAATCATCTGGGGTCTCATTTATAAAGGATTGCGTGGAAACCATACTAAAAGTGAACGTACGGCCAAAAGGCGGAAATGGCGTACGCCAAAAAAAATTCAGATTTATAAAACCATACGTACGCACGTTTCTGCGCATCTTTCCTTTATAAATCACAGCCGCACGTCAGAGTTTGCGCACGAGGTCCCGCCTCAGGTTCTACCCTCTACACGCCCACACTCAACCATAAACAGTCAATGCAAAGTACCTCATGAATGTTAAGATGTATTTAAATCAGTCAGATGATCAATGCCAACAAAAGTGATTGGTTCAGACGCTCTGTGTGTCTGGAGGATGACAGGTGCTGACAGCTGCTCACGTGAACAGAATGTCTGTAACTGACACAGATTTTCCCTCATTTTGCTTTAGAGTAATCTAACGATTTTTATAAAAAATAAAAATAAAAAACCTCAGCTTCAATTCAATCTCCCATCAGAGCCTGCAGGACGATAAAAACAATAAATTAAATTAAATAAGTCAGGTAAAATTAGAAATAAGTCCCCCGCTCTTCTCCTCATCCTCTCCCCCTCCTGCCTGCTCTGTTACCCGCGGCAGACCCCCGCCCCGCGTGCGCATGCATGCACACACACGCACGCACGCATCCCCCGCGCGCGCGCGTGACAAACACGGACTGGATACACGCGCTGCGCGTGTATCCAAAGCTTTTGCTGTCCTGCTGTTCTTATCGGGGAGGGGTCTGTGTGGGTCAGGGAGGGGTCTGTGGGTCAGGGTCGTCTGAGGCGGAAGCAGATGAATGGAGTTGCGCACGGGAACTTTTATTTAAGTCTGATTCTGAAGGTAAATTAAATATCCGACAGTGATCATTACACAGTATGGCTCTAATTCCTCACTTCACCATCTGTGTTGCAGTTTCACGTCTCCAAAGTGAGCGTACGCATGGGTCAGAGCTGGCGTGAGGCACCGCACATTTTCACGTCAAGTTTGGATTTTATAAATCACAACCTTGGCGTAAAAAGTGGCGTACGCAAGTTTCTGGGCTCAAATTGTGCGTACGCCAGTTTTATAAATCCGACCCCTGGTGAGTTAATTATCTGCTGTGCGCAACGTTCGCTTGCTCTTTAGTAACTAAATCAAAGCCATTTTCTTTTATTTTATCTTTATTCACCCGCCGGGGAGACGCTCCTCCCACACTCAGCTGCAGCCATTGCTGCTGCTTCTCGTTCTGGTCTGAACACTAGTGCGTTCTTTGGTCTGAACATAGTGCATCTAATGAGAGGCGTTTTGCGCTTTTTGGCCGCTCAAAATGTGTTTGGTGTGAACGTAGCATTACGGCTTATTACAAGGCTCACAGAAACGTATTACCTTCCAACATTCAGGCGAATTTTGTTAAGAGAGACAGTTGTTATTATCTTAAGGGGATGGAAATGTTTGTGAAGCCATATTTTCGTACTTGCTTGAGTGAAAGATGTATTTTAATCCAGGGTATAGGATTGTGGAATGATCTGGAGGATGATCTTAAAAATGCCAGATCTATGTATATATTTAAGAGAAAAATAAAAGCTAGTTTTCTGAAGGTATATGGAAAAGTAAAATGTGAATTATAATAATTGTTTTTTGAGTTGATGTTTTTATTTTTATTTAGTATTGTTTAGTAAATTATGTTTTGTTTGAATATATTCTGGGGATAAAAGGAGCAGGCATTATAAGATTTATTCTTTTTCTGCTACCTTTCATTTTATTTTGATTTTTGATTTGTGTATTTTCATTGTTTTTTATTGTATGTAGTTATTTTTAATGAAATGAATAAATTTTTTTGAATTGAAAAAATTGAAAAAATATTACATTTTTTACAGAAGTGGGCTCTTCTTTGCTACGCCACCCGTCTCCAGAGCTGTCCCGCCTGATCTCAGCTCATGGCTCCCTCAGTAAGGGTGAGAGGAACTTCCAGTGGCCCGTCCTGGCTTTTGTTATCCAGCACCATGACCTCGAAGGTCTGGAGGTGGCCATGAAGCATGCGCTCAGAAAGTCTGCCTGCAGGGTGTTTGCCATGGAGGTGCGCTGAATTAAAAAAGTTATCAGTTGACTCTGGTTTTGTTGAGTAAAAACYAAAACAATTGTCTTTTTATATTCTTTTCAGGCATTCAACTGGCTCCTGTGCAATGTGATCCAAACCACATCTCTGCATGACATCCTTTGGCATTTTGTAGCATCTCTCACTCCGTCACCCTGCGAGCCCGAGGATGAGGAAGACGAAGAGAACAAGGGGAACAAAGAAAATGTAGAACAGGTACGAGTTGTGTACAATTATTTGTCTTTTTACCTCTGAAATGTCAGACTTTTTGATTTTAAACATCTTCACGCCACCCAGGAAAGAGACCTCGGTGTTTGTGAACATCCCCTGTCAGACATTGTGATTGCCGGGGAAGCAGCTCATCCTCTCCCCCACACTTTCCATCGTCTCCTTCAGACGATCTCTGACCTCATGATGTCACTTCCCAGTGGCAGTTCTTTGCAGCAGATGGCTCTTAGGTAAAGTTTCTGCTTTAAACTATTCCATTTAAAAAAGAAATTATTTGCTTAATGTTTCAAATTGTTACCAACCTCACTGTTTTAACTCGTTCTTTCAGGTGTTGGAGTCTGAAGTTTAAGCAGTCCGACCATCAGTTCCTCCATCAGAGCAATGTTTTCCATCACATCAACAACATTTTGTCCAAGTCTGATGATGGTGACAGCGAGGAGAGCTTTAACATCAGTGTGCAATCAGGCTACGAAGCAATAAGCCAGGCAAGAAAACAGTTTATGAAACACAGATTTGACTGTTTCTATCAGTATTAATCTGACCTTGACTCTTGCTGTCACTCATCATGTCGTGTATAAACAAGAGGAAAATGTTTCTGTGTTRTATAGGACCTCTGCCTGGTCACCTGTTTGAAGGACCTGACCAGTGTTGTGGATATCAAGACATCCAGTCGTCCCGCCATGATCGGCAGCCTGACAGACGGCTCCACTGAAACGTTCTGGGAGTCTGGAGACGAGGACAAGAACAAAACCAAAAGTGTTACTATTAGCTGTGTGAAAGGCATAAATGCCACCAAGGTGTCCGTTCATGTGGACAACTCCAGGGACATCGGGGTGAGGAACTACWTCTAACAGATCTCTTTCATACTTCAACTGATGTGCTTTTTACATAAGGATGCAAAGTGGTGTGGAAATAATGACAAATTAAAAAATGTGGCGTTATGTGATAATTTTCACTGAATATTTTTCTTCTCTTGCCGACAGAACAAAGTCACATCGGTCACATTTCTTTGTGGCAAAGCATTGGAGGACCTCTGCAGAATCAAGCAGGTATGAGCACTTTCTGTGGTTACATCGTAACTTATTTGTAAGAGGATTTCTGCAAGGCATTAAAAAGCATTGATGACATCTGGTCTGTGCAGTATTAAAGGGGACATATCAGGCAGAATCCACCTTTTTTAGCCTTTAAATTCATTTTTTGTGTTTTTGGAGTCTCTAGGAGTGCAATAAATCTGAATTTGGTCTCTCCAAATGCTGCGTAGATATATTTATTTAATGTTTGGGTCATGTTTTTCAATCCGTTCAGTTTTCTCTATTTGAWGTTTTCTGAGCTATTATCTCAGTATTTGCAATGGAACTGCCAAATAAGTTCTGGATTACCAACTACAGTTTGATGGTCTTTATTCCCCTCTGGCTCTGGGCCAGACTCTGGCTCCAGCATGTAAAGCTGGAAAGATGTCTTCCCTTGTTGACATATTTTGATTACCGTATTTATTCATGTGTAATACGATCATCATTTTTTGAGCTTAAAAAACATTAAAAAAATCTAGTCATCAATAACCCGTGTATTACCCC